TCCAAAGTTGCCAAAAGTCATGGAGTCCATTTTGAGGATTCTGTAATGGATCATCTGGAGAACAATGGCTTACTATCCCCAGGCCAGCACGGGTTTCGGAAAAATCGGTCATGTGCGATTAACTTGATTTTGGGCTCGCGTCTATCGGACCTATGCTTTAGACCAAGGCAAAACGGTAGATGTTATTTACTTGGATTTCTCCAAAGCATTTGATAGGATAAATCGTCAAATGCCACGGAAGCTATATAACTATGGAATCCGTGGACTCGTACTTGGACGAATCGAGGAGTTTCTTCGACTACGTACCATGTTAGTTCGTGTTTCCGATTCACTTTCTGATCCAATGGATGTCAACCTTGGGGTTCCACAGGGATCTGTGCTAGGTCCACATCTTTTCCTTGCCTTTATAAATGATCTTCCAGACGTCCTCGGACCACAAACTCTGCTGTTTGCAGACGATGCCAAAATATGGAGGACAATAACAAAACCGGAAGATTCACTTGATCTCCAGAACGCCCTTNATGAAGCCCACAGTTCGTCTGTCTCCAGTGATATGGAATTCAACGTTACCAAATGTAAAGTCTTATCACTACGTCACAACGGTCGTTTTTCCTACACTCGGACACGAAACTCTGCCTCATGCTCCATCCGAGAAGGATGTGGGAGTAGTCATTCGCGCAGAATTCAGTTGCTCCACAAACTGTTCCAGGGCATCATCCATGGCGGTAAAACAGGTTGGACTGCTTAAACGTGTTTTTGGATCGTTTGAGCCGGCTTTGTCTCCACGTCTGTTAACCACATATATCCGCCCATACACCGAGCACTCAATTCAAGCCTGGAACCCATGGCTGCAGCGAGATCGAACATCCGTAGAGAATGGCTACCAAGATGGTTAAAGGTCTGCATTCCAAGATCTATGGCGAAAGCTTTTGGGACTATACTCGTCTCAGTATCTTCAAATCAGGTGATATGATCCCACTGTATCGGATTTTCCAACAGCCCAACCATACATGTAGATCTCTTTTGGTTCTATCAACCAATATTCATCTCAGAAGGCATTCACTGAAGTTGGCACTCCAAAAGAGCCATCACGACTGCAGGCGTCATTCGTTTGCAGCACATTGAACTCTCTATCATCTCACGTGGTTTGTGCGCCAACATTAGTATTTTTCAAGCGTCAGCTCTGGCAAACATTGTTTCAACATCCAAATACATATATTCCGGTGTGCTCGTCACAAACATTACATTACTCTTGTACGTACATGGACTAACTGTGATTTTGTGAATCATATTCCGAACCCAAAATGTAAAACCCCTATGGGATTTGATTAGCAAAGTCTTTGTAAGTTTTTCCCATAATAAAAATTTTAACCTGAATAAACAGATCACATGAACCAGACGTGGAATGTGAAGGTTGTCAGAGCGATTGAGACGAGCCGATGGAACCGCCAATCTTGTTCTGACGAAAGCAGTCATCTTTCTCTTTGGGAAATTCACTTTATTGTACCCCAGTGCACCTTTTCCCGTGCTATTACCACATATCAATCTTCTATAACTATAGTGCACCATACGTACCAGTTAAGATATGCCCCGATGGTCCGCAACAAGTCATTTCTGAAATTGACTGAAAGTATAAAACAATTTTTTTGTGAACAAGGAATTGGTGGAAGATTTGACTGGATCACATACAGACGCGAGACTAAAACGCTCCGATGCACTGTAGAGATTAGACCTTGAAGCGTTTCATCAGCAATGCGAATTCGCCGGTCCCACTAAGAATAGAGTCTGGTAGAACGCATATACTATCCACTTGAACATCGGGCAGCTGATCAGACCGTTTCACTGTATTCATCACACAACTCATCTTAACACACTAGTTGAGAGCATCAAACCTCACTCATTTTAGCACCAGCCTCGTCCGGATTATGCCGCAGTCGGATAGATTTCGTGGATTTCAATCGATGGTGAAGTTTGTCCGAGGTAGGCTGACCACGACAGCATCAACAGGCTGTCCCTCTTCAACGTGCGTTCTCACAATTTCGAAACCAAGATCTATCACACACAAATAAGATCGGGTGAACTTGCTAATGGATGAAAAATTAACTTATCGTTTTCACACTATCAATTAATATGCTGTTCTCATCCGGCTTATGGTTTTCATCGGTTCAAAGGGACCATTCTGTCGATATCTTCATGCTCTTCACTTCGGACACGCGNCTGTTGTGAACCTTTGATTTGTGTGCTCACTCAGATGCGGCCTCGTGTTCGAATAAGCCTAAACGAAGTATGTGTACGCGAGCTAGCGAAACAGAGGCGGATCATTCATTGTTCTACTTTTGAGATACTTGACACGAAAAGCAGAAAATTTCCAAGTACATTTCAGGGTAACGATATCGGCTTTTTAGTGCATGACTGTGAATCGGGATTCAACGGAACGAAATTCGTTTGTGGCAATCAACAAACCGAAAAGGGCTTGAGAGATAGCTTGAAACCGTAGAGTCCAGTAGAACCAACAGAGGAAATCGTCAATTGGCAAGGTGACAGATTCCGTCCGTTGTGCGACTCGATATTAGTTATGCAAATTCGCTCATGCTGATCGTTGGTGGCGAGAAACAAAGCGTCCAGCACAGGCAAACTCACAGTACAAAGGCAGAGGAGAACACTTGCTTATGGATCGCCGTTGCACGTCCCCTCGGTATTTGGTTTCGGTGCTGGCCGAATTCCAACGGTGCCGAGTATAGATGAGCGTGGCACACTCTTCTGTTGCTTACAACCATCCTTTTCACTAAATCGTCATGCATAACATAACTGAAACAACAAAAGTAAACTAGTCTGAACCAAAGACGTGCCTCTTATTAAAACAGAATGATCAGTTAAACAGAGATGTACTGTGATAACGATCGAGGTAGTTCAAACGATCACTTTGAAGTTTTGGAAATAAGGAATACCAAAACCGGACATTTCTTGAATTTTGCCGAAGACACCACAACAGGAAGCAAGTGACCATCAAGTTTATACTGAACTAAAAAGCTAGCATACGTTATTCAGCTACGTAATATGATGCAGTATTCCGTTGCAATCAGCACGATTATAGAGTGACATCTAATCGGTTATGAGAACGAGAACAAACCATCCCACCTGATCTAATGCGCGCGTATAACTCGGTAGCCAAGCAACCGGAGACAGTTTGGGAATAAACAAGGAAATGAAAATCCACTTTGGTTTCCACAATGCACGAGTTGTGCTTGTTCCCACGTTTTGTACCATAAAAAGAGTACATCGCTAAGCTAAGTATAACAGGAAGACAGTTCCCGCCGCAATTCAATGGTGACGTCAAAACTGATGGGTCCGACAACCAAAACGCGAATAGATGTTCCGAAGTATGTTGCATGGACTAGACAGACTGAGGAGGGAACCATTTAATTCTCCTGATCGGTAAATGAGACAGAGACGGACAGAGAGAAGAGCTCATGTGGAACAAGTCTATCGTAACATTAAGCATATAAGGGACAGTGACAGAAAAGTAGGGATAACCAGAATTAAAATACCCCACCAGGGGACAGTTTTGACACAAAAACGAAACCGGTGAGTGAAAACCTGTATCCATATGTGTGTGTGTATGCACGTATGAGCGTGTAAAAAGCAACTGTGCCCCTATACCGAAGAACAGATGAGGTGTCAGCAGCGAAATTGATAGCCAAGACGCGGGAGACATAAGGTGATTGGGATACGGGTGAGGCATCATAGCAAGAGGATGGTTTGCACAAGTATAACCGGTCGAAATCAGT